TGTGTCAGGGGCGGAAAATGGCCGCGGACCACATGTCAGGGGCGGAAAAATGGCCGCGGACTGTGTCACGGGAAGGAAAATGGCCGCGTATCCTGTTCGTACCTCGAGGCGGAGTTCGCAAACCGAAGCAAAATTTTGCAGCCGGAGCTGGTTGTAACCCGAAAAGTTCATTAACAGAAGCATTCGTAACCCGAGGTTCCACTGTACTTAATACTAAGGTATCCACTGTACAGTGGATTGTTACTTAGAATGAATGTAGCTTTCTGCTTTGCTCTTCCCAACGTCCAGAAGAAGTAGCCATAAGGAAGAGATTGGAAGCTTCTGATGTCAGTTGGAATGATTTATAGATACCAGGAAATTCCAGAACATTTGAACAAGCCATAATTATGATATTAAATTGCTAGTAATCTAAAACAGAAAAAAAAATTTTTTTTAAGAGGATCTAGATTTGGGTATCTGTACAGCCCATATCTCCAGAGGACCTAGCTGCATACTTTGGGAAATTACATAAGTCTGCATATCTGATTACAGTGGCTTAGTTTCACTCTGGAAAAACTTTTCTGATAAAAACATCTCCCTCAGAAGATATGGCTCCAGCATCCAAAGCAGGCTGTAGTTAACTTAAAAATGGAGAATGGAATTATCAAGCATGAGAGAAAACATGTGCAAGCTTAAAATTGTCCCCCTTGACAAGTAGAATAAAAAGCAAACTACATTTATTTGATGGTTTTCACAAAACATTCTCGGTGTTGTATGATTTTTTCTGGCATCCATGCTTTTGTTTTTGAAGAATAGCATTGTTAGGAATGTTGTTCATAACATTGCTAATGAACAGGTCTTCACTGTATATATACTGGAGGTTACTACCTTGTTTTATATTTCATTATACTGTGATGTAATTTGTTTGGTATTTTTCTTGGTGTGTTTATAATCCCAACTGTAGTATTTTAACTGTTTTATACTTATGATTAGTGTGAACAATCACAGCAAATTAGGTTTAAGCAAACTATGGCTTAATACCTGTCAAGCTTCACACCAGCAGTTGGTAGTAAATCATAGCTCTCCAGACCTTATTCAGCACTCAGCTTCACTGGCAGAAAACTCTCAGATAATAGCTTGGCTAGATTCTAATCTAGATATTGGCTAGATATTTATTGCAAGAAAAATTAAGATTTTAATACTTGATTACCTGCTGCAGGGCAAAGAAGTCAGAGCCTTTCTTCCTGTCCTTCTAAGTGAATGAATATTCTGTCTGGTCTCTTAATGGCCTTGGGAGGCAATTGAAATGGTTCTCTCTAGCTTAGCAACCATTAGCTCTTACTTTGCCAGTCTCAGCCCTAATACCTTTCCTATTTTTTCTTTCCCTTCCCTCTATGTGTCTGGAAATGTCACATGTTTCTCCACCTCCCTATTTCTGGTCATGGGTAGCTAGAGGGTACTGTGCCACCCCTTCCATTTTTATTTCTTCTTTGGCTGGAGCTGGAAAGATTTACCCCCTTTCAGGCCTCTCAGTTCCACCTTCTTATGACATGGAAGGGGTATTTCCATCTTTTCTACTTCTTTGGTAGGCACTGACTCCCAATTCGAGATCTTTTCCTGTCATCTTTGAATGGGACAGCCAGTATCTCTCTCAACACACACAAGTACTATTAATATTCAGCTGCCTCTTTCCCACACATCAAACAAGTCTATCTCCTCCTCAGAATTACAACTTCTGGCAGATACAAAGACCCTGATTGCTAGTCAGACAACTTGGGCTTGTAAAGGTATTGCAAATGGAATTGTTGAAGGATATGTGCTTGAATGCCATCTGCCATATCCCAAGTCCCAAGCTATTTGGATAGCTTTTGCAGTGGATCAAATATTCTAATCTACATTGAATTCTTTTTCCCCTGCCCATTTGGATGGAGAGTTGTGTTCCAGTACCAGGAGGGAACAGTGAAAAACTGGATATGTTTTCGACTTGCTGGCAGCTGTAGGTGACAGGCCACAGGATTGATCTATGCTATGGAGAGATTTGTCCAATAAACTTGACATTCAGTTTCTTAGCCACTTGGGTAGAGAGGTGAAATCTAGTACAAAGGGAGACATGTCCCCAACAATAATCAGGGGAGGGTCTTTCCAATTATGATAGTCAGAAGAACACTTGTAGAAGTCCTTGGCATGATTCAGTTGATCTTTAAGAAGGCACAGAATAACCTGAGATTTGGGACTAAACAGGAATTCTCTGAAAGAATGGAAGACTTGGAAGTGTTTATCAAAACTGCACAGGTGGCAATTGTAGTTGGCCTGAAA